AGGAAAGGAAAGGAAAGGAAAGGAAAGGAAAGAAGAGAGTATCGTAATTTTCAAATAAGTCTCGTTTGATATGATTGTTAGCTGAATGGTGTGCTCTGATAATTTTAAAAACAACTTTACAAATTATGTTTTGTTTGTATTTTCAGAGTAATTAAGACAATCTCATTTAATGATTACTACAAGACATGGTCTACGATAGCCACGTCACAAACAGCAGAACAATCTAGAAATCCATGTAAGCAGATCTAACCTTCTTCTGTGTCCTTCTAATATCATTAACCTGTGGATCATCCTGATTGTCTTACTTTTAAAGACTAGTTGACACGTCTCGGCTATGCAAGGGCAATAAGCTGTTTCTGGCTCTCTGTGCTCTACTAGTCACTCAACAACTGTTAATTTGGTGCCTCATTTGTGTAGAGCCCTGACCTGAGTCCCCTTAAAAGCCAGAAGGAGAGTAGGCAATTGATGGAGTTCTTAATCTTTTGAGGTTTACTTAACTGCCTTTGCCCAAGAAAGGAGAGTTCACAGCAGGGTGGACGTCTTCTTCAAAGATAGTTATCCCCTATCTTTGAAGCATATAAAAGCTTCAGAGGTCAGAGCATGCATGGAGAGCAAATGCGGGTGGAAGAAGTGAGAGCCCAGGGAGGGCAGTTCGGTTACATCCCTGTAAGGAAGCATTGTCTGGGGACCACAAAGACAGAATGTGAGAGCCGGACAACTGGTTCCATTTAACTGGACTTTCAGAGTATATGTCTTTATTTCCCTCCAAGTAGGCTATCCAGGCCCCACACACTTCAGTGAAAATGTGGCTTTGCCCCGGCCATCCTGTCAAAGCGGCATGGGCCTCCTGAAGTTAGAAGGGACCGCGGAGCCCGGAGTCTGCAATGACGCTCTGAAGTGCCTTTCTCTTCTAGCTGTTGCTGCCTGTGCTCTCGTTCATGTCCATGCTGCCCTGCGTCCGCAAGTTGTATTCTTTTTTCTTAGGTATTCTGCCTCTTTTCCCAGTGATGCCCTTGTCTCTACCCTTCTCCCCATTGCCCCGAAAGGCATCTCTCGCTGCCTTCCTCTTCATTAGACAGTGATGCCCAAACCACACCTCTAGCCAGACCCTCTTCTGCACCCACGGGCACATGTGCAGCCAGGTCCTGAGCCCCCTCACCTACACATGGTGCAGGCATTCCATTCAGACATCCTGAGTCTGGTTCTCTCTGGAGCTCCCAAACCTGTCCCTGCTTCCTTCTCTGTCTTAGGTACTGGGAGTTCATTATTTCTTCATTTTCTTCTGCCTAATAATCCTTAGAACAACCTTATGCCTTTCAATTTTTTGTATTCTTGATTTATCTCTTGTAATGTTATAATGCTAATATATATTATGTATATAATATATATAATATAACTCACCTCTGCCCTCATGGTAACTGCTTTAATTTTGATTCTCACTGGGCATCATGTCATTGCAATTGTTTCCTAAACATAGCAAAAAAAAGTTATATTTATTTTTCAGACATAAGATAAGGCAAAAGTACTATTAAGTTTAACAAATATAAAACCAAGTAAGCTAGACAATGTTTATGAAATCACATGCTCTATCAGGAAGTTGGTTATTGATTATTTTGTGATTATATATAATCATCCCCACTCACACATGAGTGATTGAAAAAAAATCATTCAAAGGGTATTATGATACACAGATTTTAGCAATACTGTTAGTTCAGAGAATTTTATTGCTGATATCAGAGTTCACAAGTGTTTAATTTCAAAGTTTGGTGGCCAGATGCACCTTAGGCAGTCGGTATGTTTCAAGTGCCATGAATGGAGTATAGGGGACAATAAACATTTATTGTGAAAACATGATGTTGAAAGATACTAACTTCAGGGACCAGGGGCTAAGAGGCAAATTCCTTCAAAACCCAACCACCCCCAAAAAAAGGTTTCTGATTTTTTTTTCAGGATAGTAATATGTAAATGTATGGGGGGGGCCCTCAGAAACTTAACTCCGAGGCAAAAGATGCAATAATGTGCCAAAATTTGAGAGAGTTTGGGAACAATTGCCTCTTAATAAAAAGGGATTTTAAAATGGAAGAAAATCATGGTGATTTCCTGATAGCTGTTCCTCCCTCAAAGGTGTTTGACTCCAACTTGTTGGGTTTTGTTGTTTCTACATCTGTCTGTCACTAAACCAGCCTAGTTCTCCGTAGCCCAGAAGTATTCCTAGGACTTTGAGTCTAACACCGGATGGCAGATTTCACAATCCCACTGCCCCTCCTTCCCCTGGAATCGCTCTCAAAATGTTCCAAGAGCCTGCCTTCAAAAATAGCCAGCACCTAATTTTCAAAAGCAAATGCAAACCTGACAGATGCTGCTGGCCTTGTTGCCTTTTGATAGTTCAGCTGGATAGGAGTCAACACTGGCTTTTTTTAATGGTCTCATTTCCTTGCAGTAATGAAGATAAAGCTTTAGGCTGTAGCCTGCTCCTCCAATGACTCAGAAGCGCAAAGGAAACCAACTAACTTCAGCTACACGTCTATAGTCTTGTTACTGCTGAGGCTATGAATGGCCCATGCATATTTTAAGAGATTTGTATTTTGTGAGTAGGAGGTAGTTGTATTTTGATTTGGCTATTAACACTTTTTCATATTTTTGAGCCAAAAAGCTATGTCTAGATTTTAATGCCATAACCGTCAGGAGTGTATTCGTTCACGATGTAGAGTGTGGCTGTATATGCTATGCTTCTAACCACGCTCGTTCATCATCCCTTTATTTATTCAACCAATATTTATTTATGGAATACCTTAATATATGTAACAAATAGCCATACATCTATCTGCCCGAGGGACTAGACATGATTCTAACCATTTGTTCTTCAGATGAGAAAACGAGACTAGGAGACACGGGGTAATTTAGCTAGTGTCATCCACATGCGAGAAAATATCACATATTCGTCAGTCTGTTGCTGTCCTTGGCCCAGCTGCCTTGTTTGTAAAAATGAGAGCAGTCACAACACAGTGACATCATAGGGTGGAAGAGCTTAGAGCGTGTGCCTAGAGAACAGCCGTCAGCACACACGCCCCTCCTCAGTTATTAGCACTGTGGTCCAAAGCCTTGGATTAGACCTCTGGCTCTGCATTTCCTTCCTATGATATATCTGCCTTTATAGCATGACAATGTGTTATCCCAGCAGAGTGTGAGATTTACATTCCAATGCTGAAGGACAAGCAGCGTTTCTGAGATGCACGTCATTTTCATTCACAGTCATAGGAAATCATACAGAGAAAAGTACCCGCGACCCCGCTGTTCTCTGCCCATCACTATAAAATGTCAAATCAGGGGTTTGGCAGAGAGAAAAGCCATGCATATGGTTGTAGGAACAGCTCTTTAACGACAGAATATGATCCCCATACGGAAATGCTTACGTTCCAGGAAAAGAATTCCTGAGAGCACCACGCTGTGCGGCGCTGAGTGGAGGCTCCCTGGTGCTTGTTTGCTGTCAGCAGGCAAACCAAACAGCCTCCGGCATCAGGGGGGGGGTGCTTGCTTTCACCCCAGGAGACTCTCAGCCTTTTAGGCTTCCCAAGGCTCTTCCTTCCTTGCGAGAAGCAGCGTGCCTGCTTCCAGAGCCCTGCCGGCCGCACAGCCTTTGCTGCTCATTAGAGCCACCTGCGGAGCCTGTAAAAATTCCAACATAAAAAGCACACCCAGGCCAGTTCCACCGGGGCTGGCAGGAGGACTGGGTAGTGGGAGTTTTGAAAGCTCCCTGGGCAACCGTAACACACAGCCACAGGTGGGGACAGCATGATGTCAGAAGTCAGCCACTCCTTAGCCCAATGCTGGTTTTGCAACACATGGGTAAGAAAATTCAAACGAATGGTTTGCCTAGTTGAACGCCATCTTTCATTCCTGTTAATGAGCAAAGGATATTCGCCCTGCTTTTAGGTGCTCTGGGGTTGGGTGAGATATTATGTCTGTCAAGGAAACCCACTAAATGCAAGCCGGTGCCATGTTTTCTGGATGTGAGAGTTCCTCCAGAGAAGATGAGCAACTTCGAAGTCACCTTCTGCTTGTGCAGGAAAAGCGGCACATCATTGCCAGTGGCAGGAGAACAACTGGGCACACAACAACCTGAATTCTCCTAGGTTTTTAGAGACCTCAGCTCAGACCAAACCAGGATTCCTGACTTCAATGCCAAAGATGAGGCAAAGTTGGAAAAAAAAAAAGTTAAAAATATTTTGGTATAGATTTAAGCAAGAAAGTTAAGAGACAGGCACTCAGAAGGAAAGATACACCCAAGGGGATTATATGTTTCTCTAGAGAAAGTAGAGAAAATAAGGCCTGGGCTTCTCACAGGAGAGTAGTAATCCATTGTCTCACTGTTATCCATAGGGACCGTTTTGGTGACTGTCAAGTTATCTTTCAAAGGGTCGCTCTGAGATTTCTGCCCTCTCTTGTTCGCATTTGGTAAACGAGATTATAGAATGGTTCTGGAGGTGTCTTGGATGAAATTATAATCTGATAAGGGGAAACCAGAAGCCTCTAGGGTTGCACAGGACTTTAGTATGCGTGTGTCCTTTCACTGCAAATGGGTTTCTGTGAGATTCCTAGAAAATTGCAGGTTTACATCTGGGAAGGGAGAAAGGCCGGAAGCGGTTGTTAATTGTGCGTTCTTGCTTTCCTGCTTGCTAGGGGCTTTAGTGGATTCCGAGGAGAGGAATATTTCTCTCTTTTCATGCCCCCCTAAATTTTCCCTGCCTCTTTTTAAAATTATTTTTATTTTTTTATTTTATTTAAAAAACAAAACAAAAACAGACTATCTTTTTTTTTTTAATTATTTTACCTACCAATCCCAGTTCCCATTCTCTTCCCTCCTCCCATTCCCTCCACCTTCCCCTCAACTCCAACTTCCAGGCTAAGAAGCCAAAGGAGCCTACCCTACCTCAGGCATAGCAAAACCAAGAGCTGACTTGTGAGCATGCAGGCTTGCTAGAACCCGAAGAGACCTAAAGGGTACTCCTGCCTTTCCCTTGGTGACTTCAAAATAAAACAAAACACACACACACACACACACACAAATCACACAGAGAAAGTATCTGAATCAGCAAAATTTTTTCAGACCATAAGCCAGCTTTTTAGGCTCACACGAACCCACATTGTCCCAACATTGACTATCTAGGTGTGCCTTTGTAAGCCATTCTGTGAACTCGTGAAGACTTTGTTACACTGTTACTAAAAAATAAGATTGTAATTTTTTTATATATACATTTCAGAAACCATATAGATGTGTTTTGTGAACAGGCTATACGGCTGGCAATAAATTTCTGACTCTTGCTTAATAAAATTAAATGGTTTGATTACTTTTAAAAAAAATAAATCACTGTCTCTTTCTGTCCTGTCTCATTATGGAGAAAAAAAAATGAGTCGGGAGGCACAAGGTCCTAAGTTCTGTCCCCACTGCTGCAGAAACAAACAAACTCCAGGCCGGAAGCAACACTGCAATTTTCAAGAGAAAGAATGACATTACGAAAGCCGTGGAAGGAACCGTTTTCTGCCATGACTTATGAAACCATCCCACAAGCAGGAGATGTAAGGGAGGGATTTCACCCTCTAGAACTGGGGCCTGTTCCTTTGTCCCTTTCCTCTAATCAGCATCGCTCCTTGAACATGTCCATCCTAACAGTTGACTGTCTTAGAGACCAGAAGATACGTACTGTAGGTAAGCAGTCTAAGGAGTTGACAAGCGGATGGTAGAAGACAGATGAGCAGAAAAGAAGTCATAGAGGTCAAATATGAGAAGCCTTCAAGGTCTGGAAGCAGAACTGTAGTGTTTTCACCTCGGAGACGGAAGCAGGGAAGCAGGAGTCAACGGAACACTTGAATGCGCCGCTCGGTGAGGTGGCCTGGCCGCTCTGGATTTGTAATACATAAGGTGGGGACCGCCTGCCATACAGCTTCACATCCATAAGGCAGGAAAGGCCTTTCAGAAAAGTAAAGAAAAATACAAATCTTTTAGTAGAAACTTAGCAAAATCTTTAATTTTGTCCATGCAAATGGAAGATTGTTGCTAAGACGACACTGGAACATCGCTAGTCTGTCGGGTCAAATGGTATAACGGCTCTCCTCCATACCGACTCTACATCCCCACCGCCTATAGTAAGAATCCCAGGGGCTGGTAAGATGGCTCAGAGGTTAAAAGAACTGGCTGCTCTTCCAGAGAGCCTAAGTTCAAGTCCCAGCAACTACATGGTGGCTCACAACCATCTATAATTAGATCTGGTGCCCTCTTCTGGTCTGCAGGCATACATGCTGGTGAAACACTGTATATATAATAAATTAATTAATTAAAAAAAAGTATTCCAGTTACATGAGCCACTCACCTAAAGGAAAGACAATTCTTCACTAAGAATTCAAGAGAGCTGAGATTTGCATCTTCAGTGGAACGGACGCTCTACTGAAATACTAGCAAGAGGAGTCTAATGGGGCCTGGAAGGCAGCGTGGCTCTGTATGCTCCTGTGGAAGAACTGTGGAAGAGAAAGGGTAGAGTCTTTCTAGAAATGTTGTTGGTGAAAAATCACTTCATTTAACAAGGAGAAAATTTTTCTATCTAAAGCAAATGGTGTTACATTACAAAGAAAAAGTAAATCCTTGGTCAGGCATGGTGTTGTACACCTTTAGCGCCAGTGCCCAGGAGGCAGAGGCAGGCAGATCTACTTGAGTTTGAGGCTGGCCTGGTCTACAGAGCGAGTTCCAGAACAGTCAGGGCTACACAGAGAAACGCTGCCGAAAGAAAGCATAAACCAGCGATATGCTAGAGATTCCAAATAACAGTAAGACTAGAAGACAGGGTGGTTCAACTACAAAGTCAGAAGAGGAGAGGAGGGAAAGGGAGGGGAGGGGAAGGGAGGGATGGGAAGTAGGGAGAGGGGAGGAGCCCGTGTGGATCTGTGATGTAGGTTAAGAGTACAGTTTTCAGTACAGTTTATGCAAATTTGATTGGCAGCAGAAAGCTTGTGACTAACCACAAACTTGTGAGTCAGTAAGGTTACATGATTTGAAACTATTCTAATGAAGACGTGAGCTAGGTTGACAGAAACGCAGCACACAGCCGGCAAGTACACTTGCACCTGTACCAGTCAAACAAAATAAAAAGCCTGCTGTTCGGGAATGCTAGGGATGGAATCCCAGGGCTCTGCCACTGAAATGAATTCTCTGTCGTGGACATAAAGGGATTTTTGGGTTGTTTGAGTTTTATATAATTGCATGTGTCTGCTAGTAGAAGCCAGAGGTGTTCGATTCCCTGGAGTTGAACTATAGGTAGTTGTGAGCTCCACGTAGTGAGACTTGAACCCGGATCCCTGGAAGAACAGCAAGTGTTTGGAGTTTTGTTGGTTGTTGTTGTTGTTGTTGTTGTTGTTGTTGTTGTTTTTTGCTTGGTTTTTTTTCTCCTGGTTTTTTGAAACAGGGTTTCTTTGTGTTGCTTTGGAGTCTGTCCTAGAACTTGCTCTGTAGACCAGACTGGCCTAGAACTCACAGAGATCCGCCTGCCTCTGCCTCTTGAGTGCTGGGATTAAAGGCATGTGCCACCCCTGCCTAGCCAGCAAGTGCTCTTAACCACAAATTCCTTTCTCCAGCTTCTGGAGATAAATTTTTAATAGGAATATCAACTAAGGTTCTCACGAGAACAGTGAAGATGATTTTCTCTAGAAAAACCAAGTTCTAAGAAAACAATGAAGGAGCCAAGGCTTCCTTAAGATCTGCTCACTCCTTGGGAGATGGATGAACTTGACTGACATGGATCCAGAAAGATGAACTGTACCAGAGGCAACTCCCAATGCTCAGATTAAGAGAGGCCACTGTGGTCCTTGTCATCAGCCTGGGGAAGGGGCAGTGTCATGGTAACATGGCCCAAGGATTCCCTTGGGGCCAGCAGGACCACCTGTTTGAGACTCTGGCTCTGTGAAAGATCCAGATCTGAAATGTCCCTGGAATGTAGGTGTCCAGCAGAATCTTTCCTTGGAGTGTATAGGCTCCGGAAGCAAAACAAAGTAACAGTTCTCAAAATAGAAATGGAAACATTGTAACTTCCAATCCCAAGATTCAGTTTTTCACTTCAAGCACTGAATTAGAAATTCATTAAGCTATTAAGGTCCATGATTTTCATGAGTTATCTTAATACTTTATTTCTATTACCAAAATACAAAGTTTCTGCAAGTTTAAAGACGAAATTGGCTTTTATTAGTGAATCATGAATTGGGTATCAGTTTAACTAAGGGATAGGAGATCTTGGGTCCTGCAGGAACCAGGAAACAACCAGATCAGTTTTCTCATGAGGGAACAGCAGAGGGGACTGCCAAATCTGACTGGGGCCTTCCTGTTGGTTAGTGTAATCTGCTTTGTTTAGGGACTCTGTTGCTTGCTTTAAGCAGCACTGTGAGAGAAAAAAAAAAGGGGGGGAAACTCCATCTTTTTTGTTTTTCTTTCCAAGACTGGATTTCTTTGTGTAGCCTTAGCTGTACTAGAACTCACTCTGTAAACCAGGTGGGCCTCAAACTCAGAGATCCCTCTGCTTCTGCCTCCCTAGTGCTGGGATTAAAGGTGTGTGCCATCACCCAGCTTGAGGAACTCCATCATGCAGTGGTATTGGGGCCTAGTGCAGGACTTCAGTCCAAAGCAATGATCTACCATAAATTTTATTTAACTGCATAAATGATATATAAACAAATGTCATTATAATGAAAACAATTTCTAAGTCACAATCTACTTATTTCAAACAATATTGAGTATTACATAGAACCAATAAAAAAAACATTTGCAAAGTCTTCAAGCATTGTAACATGAACTATACAGAGTGTGCAATTGCAACATATCAACTTAATGGAAAGTGAGGTACTTTCGACTCTGAACTATATTAAAGAGTGTATATGAATATTTCTTTTTTAATCATCTTATTTCAGTTGTTGGAGATCCAAAATTCATGGGACAGTACTACAAATGGAAGCAACAAAATCGACAGCATCATAAACAATGGAAGTTGAAGTAAGATGTTGCACGTGCTTTGAATGTGTGATGGCATTGACCTTGAGTGTTGGTGATTCTGTTCTCTACTATCTACTGAGCCATTGGCAGAAACCCTGGGAATGGCAGGCTATGCCTTTTCTAAGCATGAGAATAGTCATAAGAAAGTATAATTTTCTTTCACAGGAATACAGGTAGGAAAGCTAATAAGCAGAGACTGCACCTTTGTTTCCCGGTCACCCAGACTGAAAATAATCACATAGAAACTATTCATTACAACACTGCTTGGCCAATCACTTAGGCATATTGCCAGCTAGCTCCTATATTTTAAACTAACCCATTTTCATTATTTTGTATTTTACCATGAGGCTCATGGTTTACAGGTAAGGTTCAGGGAGTGGGCGTATTTCTCCTTTGGCAGCTACATGGCATCTCCTTGACTCCGCCTACTTTCTCCCAGCATTCTGTTTAGTTTTCCCACCTAGCTCCATTCTGCCCTGCCACAGGACCATAGAAGCTTTATTCATTAACAAAACACATTCACAGCATACAGAGGGGAATGCCACATCAAAAGCTGGCATCGTGGAGAGAGGACATGAGCCACCGAGGAGCAAGCTGATCCTCTTCAGAGTTAGTCATCGCCAGTTAGTCACCTCTTCATCTTTCTCATAGCTCTGACTTTGTTTTCCCAAAATTTCTCATTCAGGAGCCATGTATACACACACACACACACACACACACACACATATATATATATATACACACATACACATATATATACACGAATACATGTATATATGTATATATATGAAGAAAGATTATATATACATATAAAATCTTTATCCTTGTATAATTTAAATCATTCTATTGGAGGAGGATCTAGGAATAATGTGCTTGCCATGCATGTATGAAGACCAGAGTTCAGATCCCCAGTACCCATGTAAATGCCAGATAGGCCTGCTGTCCCTCCTGTAATCCCTGTGCTCAGAAGTCAGAGACAGGGGGTTCTGTCAAGCTGGGATACTTTTTACAAACCAAATTGGAGAGCTCTAGGTTAAGCAAGGAACCCTACCTAGTGGGACAATCAAGAAAGACATCAGATGTCAATCACTAGCCTCCATCCACATGTGCACAGCCACACATGTCAACACATAGGTTTACATGCACATACACACACCCACATGGGCACACACCAAATACAGCAAATAAGGGTGTACTCACTGTATAAAGTGATGGGTTTTTAATTTTTTCCATTCAAATATAACATATACTCAGGACATATTAAACACTCCCTTTCTCTCCCTGCCCATCTCTCTGCTAAGGCCCCTTTCTCTTCCCAAACAAGTCTCCCTTCTGTTCTCTGTGTGTGTGTGTGTGTGTGTGTGTGTGTGTGTGTGTGTGTGTGTCTTTCTCTGTGTGTGTGTGTGTGTGTGTGTGTGTCTTTCTCTGTGTGTGTGTGTCCCCCGAATTCCACATAGGAGAGGAAGCAGGTAAGTAGTCTGCTTTCTTCACAGTGTGTAGCAAATGTGCTGCCATGAGGCCTTGTAGCACCCAGATTCTTCATCTTGCATTTTAGCTCTTGTTGTCAGCAGCCAGTGTTCTGGGTTTTTCAGAGTGGAACACACGACCATTAAACATGCTCTATGTTATGAATTTGAATAAAAGGCAAAGAGGCTTTTCCCTCCTTTTTTTTTTTCCTACAAACTTTAACAACAACTTTTCTTTGGGCCAAAGCAAAGAAACATTTTTATATTGAGTTCCTGCTTTCAGCATAAATAACAGGCAGGAAAAAAAAATGTATCAAGCTGAATGTGAAGGGGTATAAACATGTTTTCTCTTGAAGGCCTGTGTCAAGTTTATTTTGCAGTTGAAAAATTTACTCAGAATCTAAGATGGTCATTACTTTGACCTGACTCCTTTTCCTGTCTCCTGCAATGGAGCTGTTCTGATTTACTTGTTTGTTCATTGGTTCATTATGTTGGCCAGAGTCTCCCAGAACCCCAAGATTTGGAAAAATGAGGCCCTTGTCAATTTCAACTTAGTCACTCACGTCTACATGTGGCTAAAATAGCTGAGCTGTTTGAGTGATAGAACACTTCAAAATACATTATTCTGAGTTTAGAGGTCGAGCTGTGCGCAGTGGCCCTGTCAGAAGAAAACGCTCACACCTTGTGCCATCTGGTGGCTGACGAGGATATGTGCCGATCAAAGGCCTTTGCTTCCGATAAATTGTGAAATTGAGTAGTGAGGAAAGAAACCACTTGGAATAAAGTTTTTATAAGATGTTTCACTTACGTGCCTTTTATAGTGGCATAAATATTTGTGTATGCAAACGAAGGCCAGCATAGAAAAAACCTAAGGAGCAGTGAAGTATGAATTTCAGCTTCTTTCCAGATAACTACCAACAATTCTTAATGTTTATCAACATGTATGATATGAGATACAGTGCTCAATTGAGAGGCTCAAGTAGAAAATGCGAGGAATTGTATAGGTACGCCATAATCCTTTTATGTACCAGAGTTTGTTATTTCTTTTTCTTTTTCTTTTTTTTTTTTTTGTCTCTTTGATTTTTGATTTTTCAAGACAGGGTTTCTCTGTAGCTTTGGAGTCTGCCCTGGAACTAGCTCTTGTAGTCCAGGTTGGCCTTGAACTCACAGAGATCTGCCTGCCTCTGCCTCCCGAGTGCTGGGATTAAAGGTGTGTGCCGCCACCACCCAGCAGAGTTTGTTGTTTCTTTAAAGATATATTGCTTATTTTTACACATGAGTGTGTATCTGTGTGTATATGTGTGTGTATGGGTGTGCATGTGTACATATGTGTAAGTCTCATCCCCTAGAGATGGAATTACAGATAATTGTAAGTTGCCCAATGTGCGTTCTGGAACCTGAACTGTTCTGAGAGAGCAGAAAGCTGTCTTAACTGTGGCGCCATCTCTCCAGCCTCCCTTGTGGTGTTTTTGTTGGGTCTGTGTTAGCTACTTTTCTTATTGTTGTGAACAAATGCCCAAGGAAAGAGTGTAAGAAAGGAAGGGTCTGCTTTGGCTCGCAGTGTGAGGGTATCTGCCACCGTGACAGGGAGGCATGAAGCAGGAAAGCAAGGTGGTGGTCACATTGTGTCCATAGCTGGGAAGCAAGAGATACGGGCACTGGGGCGTTCTTTTCTCATTTTTCTCAGTCCAGGATCCTCTCCCACGCATGGAGAAGTGCTACTCACAGTCAAAATGGCTCTTCCTTCCTCAGTCAAATCTCTCTGGAAATAAGATGTGTTCAGAAGTATCTTCATGGTGCTAAATTGAGTTAACAATTTAAAGTAGCCATCATGACAGGGTGAGTGGGTTTCAGAACTACTGGAGATTGAATCCAGGGCAGGGCACTACACTGTTAGATAAGCCCTCAACCACTGAGCTAAATACCCAGCCCCTGGTTTCTTGAGACAAGGTAGACTTTGAACTAACTTTGTAACCTGGGCTAAATTCAAACTTGCTATCCTCCTGCCTCAACTTCTTGGGTGTGGGAATTACAAACATGAACCATTCATCTCTCTGTTTCTTTTACAATTTTTAAATGTTTATTTATTTATTACATATATGCTGTTCTGCCTACATGCCAGAAGAGAGCGCCAGACCTCATTATGGATGATTACGAGTCACCGTGTGGGTTCTGGGAATTGAACTCAGGACCTCTGGAAGAGCAGCCAGTGCTCTTAACCTCTGAGCCATCTCTCCAGCCCTCATCTCTCTGTTTTAAATAAGTGTTTGAAAATATCTTCCTTACACTGATGTTTCCTGTTTAAAAAAACAAAACAGGGGTTTGGAGATGTGACTCAGTGGTAGAGCCCCTAGTTTAGCACATCTAAGAACATTAGCTTCATCCTCATTAATTATTCACTCATTAGATCATTAGAAAGAAAAAAGCAAATTGAGACTTTTATTTGCATTGTGTTTCCCTTCTCCTGTTGTTCCTCCTGCTCACTGCCCGTATCCGGCAGTACTTGATTCTTCCTCTTACATGGAGACCTGAGATTTCTTCCCCATCTGTGCCTTCCACCCGGAGTATCTCTCCCAGCAGAGTCTTTACCAGGACACTGACTTAAGTCTTGGCCTGAGTCAAAAGGTGGCCTTTGATGTTTGTGGTTAAGTGCAGAGACCCTGGAACTGTTTGGTTATTGACTCTGGGACCTTGAGCATCATATCTGACTCCTTTTGCTTCATTTGTATCCATGCAATAGCACCTGCCTTCCAACGAGGTCTCGAGGATTCACTAATTCAATATGTGTAAATGTTTTTAATGCTGCCTAGCACACAGCCATGCCCGTAGGACTTGCCATTGTTCATTTTGCCTCTGCTCTGGCCCTTGTTCCTGTCACAGACAGAAAACCTTTCCTTGGAAAAAGCGGGGGAAGAGAAAGGCAGATCTTGGCTGGGGCTCTTGCCCTCTCAGAACGTGTCACCCTGGTCATAACACAACCATCCTTGCAAAGCTGTTTTGCATTGAGTTTCTTGAACGATACCACTTATTTAAAGTTTAGCACAGGAACATTCAAGAAACATTAGTTCCTGAGGAGTGGGGGAATATGGAAGTTTATAGCCCCCAGCTTTCCACAGAATGAAAATAATCTCTGGCAGAAATATGTAAAAAATGTAAATTTATCTCAAGTTAGAAAATAGCACGTAGCTGACCACATGTATCTAGTGCCATTGTGTCTGCAATTTGACTTCTCCACTCCACCTCTCTTCTGCCTGGCACAGCATTGCACAAGGGTGGCGTGGATCCAGCACACACTTCTCTGTGTGAAACGGTCCTCTATGTGCTCTGAGGTCGCAAATCTCCAGTCCTCTCTTCTATAGTGTGCAGTTCCTGCCTCTGGGGAAGCACCCAGGAGAGGGGCATTGAAATAGTCTTGCATTCTCTATGCTTCGTGGAATGGACAGCACACAGTAGGTACTCAGTTCACTGTTGAAAAAAATGCATGTGCATCTTGTCTCACCGTTTAATATTAGAATTAAGAGAAAATCAGTTTTA